GAGGGTTTGGTGCGGACAGGGATGCGCAAAAGTTTTCCCAGATCTGATTGGCCCAGATTTTGTATGGCCCAAGGCAAAACGAGGCGCAACTGGATGAAGCTCCCAAAGAAGTGGGACCTAGCCATCTGCCCCTGGATTGTTTACTTCGCTGCAGAACTTCATTCAAACAACTCCGATTCATGTCCTTCATGACATAATGAGTACAGGGTCTGCTTCACGGGTTCAAGATAATTGGACTTCTGTTGTCTGTGCCCGCTGTGGCGAGGAGAAACCGACAGGCGACTTCATAAGCAAACGAAAATCTGCTGGTATGGCAGTGGTAACACCAAAAACTGCCTGGACTGTCGTAATTCCCGCAACTCTCATGTCAGCTCTGTCTCCCCACGCCGCAAGACAATCAGCGCCAACTGAGCGAAGCGTTCCAGATCCAGGGACGCAATCCAGACGTTGAAGGACCTCGCTGTCGGCCCTTCCTCAAGCGAGAGTCCTGCTCTCAAGAGAACAGAAGAAGATGCCGGTTTATCGCCTCCAAATGACAGATCGGGAACTCAGCCTACATCGTCGGAGAAAGTAACGGCAATGTCATACAGCGAGGATGTTATTTGAATCCTCGATTAGCCAGCCGCGTGTGGAGCTGGGGACGCCATTGCCGCCAACCCAACAAAGCCCAGGGCTCTTCCGGACACTGCCTCCCTCACCTCCCGTGCAGCGAACGACCCATCCGATCGTCTCACTCTCAGATCCAGCTACTATCCGACGCAGCACAAGTAGTGTGGGTCATGCTTTACTTGGCAACTAGATACCGCAAAGGGGGGAAGAACTTGCAAGATAACCCTTCCACGGCTGGGGCGGGGGTCAAGCTGGCCGCTGTCCAGCACGACCATCGTTGACGACGCCGTGCAGGGGAAACTGTCCCACTGACGCCCAAAATATGTCATTTTGGCGTCTGTCAAGGCTCGGAGGTTGCGGGAGAAGGTATCTATACTTGTGCTGTGGTTGGCAGTAGCTTCTTCAGGCTGACCATCGAACGTAGATGCGAGTCAAGATCAACTGCGGACGGGAAAGCTACATGATCAAGGGGTCGCCGGGTTCACCGACGCCTTACCGCGCCTTACCAGTATACCTCACGAAAGACCGGGAGAATGAATATAACCACTAGCACCTTGACCGCCTCAGCCGATCAGTCATCTAGGTCATCGCTACGAACGTCGGCCCCGGCGCGGCTACTGCCCAGGACGACAAGGCGGGCAACCTTGCGAAACAGGTCCCCGTATGCATTGGTGCCCGTCTGTGCTGACGTGCAACCTCTGGCAACACACCTGGGGCTGACCCCATCCGAGACCAACCGTATGTAATCATGATGGAGTTTGACAAATATACCGGACCAGCATTCCTGACCACCGCCGACGGTAGGAAGATCGTCCCGATTCCGCCAGTAGACAGGGGCTTCCTCGTTGGAGCCACACTCTATACCCTCAGTTTCCCATGATCATATGCTATGCCATTACAGTTCATAAGTTCAGAGCATCACCGAAGACAAGATCGTAACAGATCTGTCTTGCCTTGACTTTCAGACAGGTTTGAGCTATGTGGCCGTCTCGCTTGTGAAAACGCTGCAGGGCTTGATGCTTGATTCGACCGCAATCATCTGACATACACATCCCCTCGGGAGGGTATCAAGATGAAAATGAGGGATCAAAGGCTTAGGAGTTAGCAGGTTCTCACTCAGAACCCGTATAAGAAAGGCCACGGGCCTACGTAACTCCACTTGATCGAGGTGTAAATGGCGCAGTGAATGTATGCTTATAGATACTTCGTTCTTCATTTTTCGGTGACTGCCTTACCGTACCGCAGATTTGCAGCCTTCGGCTGATTGTACGCCTTGCACCACTGCTCAAAAGTGCAAGGTGTGACGCAGTATTTTAAATAGGGTCCTTGTTTTTTCATACTTTCAGCAGAACATTAGTAATTTATATGGGCATTTGGATAGTCTAGTTTGCATGTAATTCTGAATGTTATCTTAATTTCTTCTTGCCTTAATTAACGAGACTGAATACCGGAGAGTACTAACTTGTGGTCATCTAGGGTGTAGCGAGAGGCGCGACGGCCATGAAAGTAAGCTGCTGAATTATGTGCATCCTGTTGGCCCGGATTAACAATGCCGATGTACAGCATCGGTTCGATATTGCACCAATTACTTCGACATGAGGCGATGCGTACAGCACCAAGTGGCGAACCGTGGTGCTCTCTCATCGAAGAGCATTTGCTAAGCCAAATGGGACAGGCGCATTTTCCGTTGCAGTGACATTTATTCATGGCATTTCGCTGAGATGGAAGATTGGTCAATACATTTGATGCCATATGTTGATATTAATACAAAACTTAGGCCACGGTAGGCCACGGTAGGCCACGGTAAGTAGATGACGGCCTGATGTATGCAATTGTCGTAGGGAGCGTCCACGTGGAGCATACCTAACCAGTTAGGTCTGGCCACCCAGATAGCTGGGATCAGCATTGAGTCCGCGGTAAGAGATGTGTGAGTGGTGGCAATTTATGGTCCCCCCCAGCGTCATTATGATGCGTGCTCGGTTTGTAATGGGCTGCCCATTCAGTGATGGAGCGGTAAGACTGCTGCGCTTCACGTCCGAAATAAAATGCACTCAGACTGCATCATAAAGTAGAGCTGTATCATAACTATTGCAGCTCAGGGCATAGGATTTGAGCGAGCAATGGGTTCATAACATAAGAATCACAATACATCTGTCGGATAAGGCTGCCTCTGTTGATTGAACAAGCAGACTTGACGTAATTGCTAGATGTCATAAAATCATCGATATCAGTAGTTGAGAGGCTGGCCAGCCACCCTGATGAAATCAGGTGGCTGGGAAGTCCTCTAAACTAAAGATAAAAGACATGAACCCTTCTGAAGGATAGGAACAAAAAAAAACGACAATCAATTCTTTTTCAATAAAAAACAAGCTAAGTTAACAATGAGTCTCATAACGTGACAACATCAAGGCCATCAAGCGATGACGTGAGACCTTACTTGCCCACCGATTACCTTAATCTCAAAAAATGACCCGGTATCTGTGAAACGTCACAGGTACAAGTGAGAATTTGCGTTAGAGTAGCGCTTCATTTTGTCAAAAGGGGGGATCAATGAGCTGGTGCTAGGATGCCTACGCGCAATACCTTGGTGAGACGCACCACAAAAAACAGATTGTGGGCAGAGGTCGACAATTGATAATTGTTTCTAACATCGGCCCTTTGTCTACCGGCCCTCGTCCACGTCAACGACTTTCACTGGGCACTTCCGTGTCGGGGTGGTAGACACGGTAATGCCTAGTCAAGGCATCTGCTCGACTGAAAATCTTTCTTCCATGCAGAGATTGCAACGCAATTTTTGTTTATGCGAGTTATGAATGGTGTCTTCATGTCGTGTTAGGTCGTAAGGCCTGGAGAACGCGGTATTGCAAGGCTTGCCGGTGCCGGGGTTGATTCGACCGCATCGGTGTGGCCCGGCTTGTGTATGGAGAAAGGTGGACGCCATGCTGAGGTTATGAGCACGTGGTGATCCCAAATCTCGTGTCTGCCTATGGGCTTCTCGCTTATGCTTCTTAAGCAAAATCGGCGTCTGGAATATGAGCGAACATCCGTGAAATGTGCAGGTATATGTGCTGCTGTCAGAGCCAGTACTTGCCAGTTTATTACGACTAGGCGGCATGTTCCCTCCAGGTGCGACAGAACCTGTCCTAGATGAACTAGGTCTAGACGGAGAGTCGTGGCTGGCACCTGAACACCCAATGTCGTCTGAGATAGTATGTCGCTAAACTGGTCTTTTGGGCGAACTTCGACGCTGATGGACCCAAGGTGAGCATCCTCAGAATTCAATGTGGGTATTGTCTTGGTGAATTGGTCTACTTCGAATTTCGAAGAGTCCTGGGCAAACAGTGGGAACACCCCATCAGCTTCTGACTCAACATATTCCCAGACAGCGCCTCTTGGCGAAATAGATTTAGGAGTTGCTGGCTCCACCGCGTTTTCCAGACGAGATAGAAGTGGACGATGATCATCCGGCTCTCTCACCGGCCAAGGAACATCGAATTGATGCGATGCGTCCAAATCATAGACTGGTTGCGTCGTGAATGGTGACCCTGTCCAAGATGGTGTCGGAGCCCGAGAACACATGGATATTGGAGAGTGCGCGGCCATCTGGTACTGGATATTCGCGACATGGTTACATTGGCTGAATGCATTACTGCCGGATGAGATGATAGAATGTGGTTGCGAGGATGACGGGGTGGTGACCAAGTTTGGGTGCCATTCATCACCATAAATATCCGTCACAGTTTGGTCTGATTTGGGAGCGTGACCGTAATTTAGAAGGTCCGTGTTCATGTCGAGGGCGGTGAAAGACGAGCACGATGGAAAGTAAGCCCTACCTCCGAAGCCGTCAAAGGTCCCTTATCCAGTAGAGGGGTTTTCTCTATTCCTGGAAACGTGGCATGTCATGCCACCTCGGTCGTTGTGCCGTTCATATGATATGCTGTGTACAACGAAGAAGCTTATAGAGAGTGGGAGAGTTGGCGAGTGACAATAGGAGCCTACCTGGAGCAAGGTCTGGGGATGTGGGGCGGATGTGTATTGAGTATGAGTCGATGCAAGATCGGCTCAGTCGAGGTAAGGTGAGAGGCCCGTGGCCTAGCCAATGTGAGAAAGCCACAAAAGTCAAGGGCATGACCATCTACCTAATTTTCACGCAAATCCGTGATCCACAGTAATTCTGTGGGTCATTGAGCGCTGTGGTTCCTTCGCTCGTATGGGCTGACCTCGTGAATCTGACCAGTCATCCTGCGGGCGGTGATGCAAATATTGTAACTACACTAATCATGTGAAAACGTCTCCTCGTTTCATTCCCTCAGCATCACGTCTTCATATCTGTGAGTGTAATAATCTCGAGTAATCAATCTAACTTTTCGGCCAGCTGAGCGACAGACATCGCATCAATAAGGTGGCTTAGATGGACGACTCTCCCAAAGACCAAGGAGATCCCCGCGCTCAGGAACAGCAACGCATCGAGCGCCGGTACGGAGTGCTACCTGGCAAAGCGCATCGACTTCACCAACAGTTACAGGTTAGGCATGCCCGCCATCACTGCCTGACTATAAAACTAACGTGTTGCTTGTGTTGGATACAGGGAAGAACGTACTTCGATTCCGGTGACTTTGCTCTTTCCACAGCGCACAAAGCATCAAACATCGGCATGGTTCAGACAGGGATGGAACATCCACTTCGAAGCAACATATCTCACCCATCATCAGCAGCGCCAGCATCTAGCAACGTCAACAGCAATAGTGACAAACAAAACCGAGGTACTGAGCCATCTACGGTGGTATCAACACCGAGCCATCTTCACCAACAAATGATGTCCAAGAAAGCGGCTGGCGAAGAAGGTAAGAAATGAGAAGGGGGTTGAAAATTAGTGGGCGCATGCAGCTGTCGGATAAGTATGCCTCTGTTAACAGAACAAGCAAACTTGGTGCAACCGCTAGCTGTCATGTCGTCGGCTATTAGAGATGAGGACAGCCGGAAAAGGCAATTATGTGGTTCAGATGAAAGGAAGTTTTAACGATTTAAAACGACTGCAGAAAATGGTCTGCAAAAAAGGACAACGAACAATTCATCACGGATTTTACTGGTGTGTCAATAATATCTAGCTGACTATGACTCTCACAACGTGACAGCAGCATGGTCTGGCCGCTGTTCTAGTAATAAATAATGTATTTGCAAGTCAACTAAGAACGCCCTGTGTCAAACAATTAGGGTCACAAAAGATCGAGTATAACGGCGCCGTAGGCGCCAATTGTATTGAATGAGACTTATCTGAAGAACAAATGAAAGATGGAAATGAACGCGGTATTTGTGAAAGGCCTCTAGTGAGTTGATTCAACTAACTAGTCCCTATGCTGTTTACTATCAAGATGAAGAAGAAAAGAAAGTCTACATACTCCGTGGCACAATAATAGCGCCTTATATCTTCCCCATACACCTCCACAGAAGGTTCTAGAGTCAACCCGCCGCGGGAGTTAGTGATAGGCGGCACAGCCGCCGTTCAAGCGGCTTGGCCCGTTACAGTATTTATCTTGTGATCAGCTTCGCCGAATCGGCCAAGCTGTAAAAAGGAGACGTTTCTGATACCTGCAATACCACATCGCGGCATTGCAAAAAGCAACGACTTGCCCCATTTTGAGGTCCTGATATCTGACACCCTGCTTATAGTTGCATATCACAATGACGGTGGTTCGTTGTGTATTGCTGCAGTGTCAACAATTCAGGATAAAAGGACTTCAACGCCGAGATACAAGACGGAGGCACCTATTTCATACATGACTGCCTTTTGAGCGGAAGCCTGCCAAGACAGGCCAATGGACTCGAAGTATTCTACTGCGACGTACAGAACACTAGTGGCCACTTTCCACTGATCGACATTTTGGGGCTCATCGAGAGGCTGTGAGGCTGTACTACCCAGTGGGGCGGCATTGTCCCGTCCGCCTTCATCTGTACCCTGGACGTACCTTCAGCTGTCACGCATTCGTCCAAAGCCCCAGAAATGAAAAGAGGTGAAGGGTAACTACGGTGGGCGATAGGGGACACTGGGACAAAACCCCCAAAATCGGTGGATAAATGTCAAAACGGGTTAGCGGCCTGGACGTGTCGCCCCACAGTACATCAGCCCAAGTACCTCAGTTCAACTCTCTTCAATTTATGTCGCGTTACAGCAAATCCGATGGTCAACAGGCCCGCTGCCGACCAGCAGCGCTACCCCTGAACAAGCATCGCCAATGCTGTTGCCGGGCAGCTGCATCGCCACACAATTCCCGGCACAAGCCGCAGCTGGTCAGCGCCAACGCAGCGGCGAGACAGGGGATATGCGCCAACACCAACCAGGCTACTGCCCTCTCGCTTTTTCATGGCATGAAGGCCGTCAACATTACCTTTACCTCGCTGTACCGTCCGTTCAATGGCACGTCCGCGCCATCCAATCGATCAACATCGCGACTACATCACTCACCTTTACCTCAATGGCATCTCGCGGAGTAGGATTACATACAAGCTTCGAAAGCATCACCATGTCGCTGTCAATTGCCGTACTCTTTCTCGCCGGATCGCGAACTGGGGTCTGCCGCGGCAGCAAGCCCGTACCAAAGAAAGTCCAGAACTGATAGACGCTACCCACGACTTGATCTTTCGCATTGGGCTTACCGAGAAGCAGACGCTGAGCGTTCTGCAAAGACAAGGCTGGCCAATTACGAAACGAGGTCTAAAGCGCATCAGGCTTCACCCGGACCGCCGCTGGTTGCGCAGGCTTAATACCGAGGAAGAACGCCTTGCATTGCTGGAAAGGACGGAGCACCAAGCGCCGTCGAGAACGAGGGATGTTCCGTTAGACTTATGTGGGTGCCGGCCAAGGACAGGGAGTTTGCATTGAGATCCGTGGCCAAGGCAGCAGCGCAGAGAGCTACAAAGACATATGGCATCGTAGAGACACCGCCGTACCAAGCAAAGTCCACAACGCTTCGTCTGGAGCTCACCCGGCGACAACCGCGGGGACGGCTCCCGGATAGCGTTGGGAAGTATTCGAAATGTATCGATACGGCGCTACTGGGCAAACATACCCGTGCAGTATACGACGCACTGAAAAGAAAAGAATCGGATGTGCTGGCTCAGCTTCGGACTCAGTGGAGTCAGAATTGTGTGAGTGCAGCCAGGCCACGGAGACAATTGAGCATTTTCTCTTTCGTTGCAAGAGGTGGAAATTGCACAGAGACATCATGTTCCAACACTCGCGAACCAAGACTGGAAACTTGTCTTTCTTTTTGGGAGGAAAGGCTGCGTCGGATGACGAGAAGTGGAAGCCAGACATGCAAGTGTCGGATAATGCCTCTGTAGACTGAAGTCGCTGAGCTTGGAGTAATTGCTGGATGTCATAACGTCGGCTATCATGACTAAACTTAGCCGAAAGTTAAATTCGGACGAAAGGAAGTTTTTGGTATTAAAAAGAGAGCTGCAGACGCTCTCGGAACAACAAGAATAATGATTTTATCAAGAAGCTTAGTTAACATGAGTCTCATAACGTGACAGCTCCTGGGTTTGCGAAAGTGAGAATGTGGCAGGCTGAAAGAGTTGCATGACGAGGCCACTGAGATCATACAGTGCTGATTTACGTCCGCGCACCAGGAATTCGTGCCACCAATGACTTGGATTTTTCATGTTAGTTCTATGGATTAGCGTGGTCACCTAACGTAGATGTATAGTGAGTGCCACAGCATAGTGAGTGCCACACCTCAAAATCCCATACAAATGGCACTTTTCAACCCCCATGCAAAAACCACGAAACATAGATGAAAATAGATATTATTTGAAAATCGAGTTATTTATAAATAAGTTAGACCAACACCCGATTTTTAGGCCTTATGCACGTAGGATTATTTGGAGATTCTAGTATGCGAACAGTGCGAATTAGGATTTTGGCCACTTCTTCTTATGTAGTTAGGAAGTAATACATATAAAATCCGGTATTATATTTGAAATCATACAGGAAAAATTCTGGTAAAGTTTTTTTGCCTTTCATTAAAAAATGGCTGTTTTTGCATGGGGGTTGAAAAGTGCCATTTGTATGGGATTTTGAGGTGTGGCACTCACTATGCCATCTACGTTAGCCTCAAATGCTCCAAACGGTTTGTCAAGATGTTGTCGCAGCGGGCTCTTGTTCGTCCTAGGGGCCGATTTTCGTGGACTTCTTTTATCCACACCCAGCGTAGAGGCATCAGCCCACTTCCTTCTGTAGATCGAATTTTAGGTGCTCATCGACCCACCACTCCTCCGGTAGCCAGCCATCTATGCTGTCGACAACCATCTGGATCGTGACATGATTGACTTGCATCCCACATAAAAGGGTGCGTCTCAGCCTTTCCTTGCCGCTGCGCATCTGAAGCCAAATGCCATTGAACCCTTGCCGCTTGCATTGGTTGCAGTCCCAAGATGCGCTCTGGTTTGAGTACTCTCGTCCGCCACACTCTGCCCACCCTCCATGGCCGCTCCATGACAACATCTATATCCCGACTATCCCGAACCAGCAAGAAGAATCTACCTGTCAGAGACGGGGAGAGCTCTTCGCCTAAGGCCCCCGCTGCGAGGCCTAAGCCTACAGTCTATAACTCCAACATCACAGGTTCAGGGTCGGATCCTCGGAGTCAGCTCACGGCTGAGCAGAACAAGGAAGTGGACGAACATAACCGCCACTTTACGAAGAAGCATGCCCTGGAAGACAGGGCTAACGACAGGGGTGGCCCTCGTCATTAACGCCAGTGCTTTGAACAAGCCACCGATGTTCTGCTTGACTGTCACAATGATTACATAAACTATCTGAGGTCAGTCGGAGTCTGGGCTTGGAACCCGTTCCGCTGTCTGACCCTGAGCGACAACAGTGCATGGGGCTGCTTAAGCTATGGGTGTTATTGAGTACTTGCCAATGGATGAACGTTTAAGGCATCTTGAGGTATATCTAGCATGCCACGTGCTTACTGCACTGAAGAGAATTGATGACTTGTTTAAAAACATTCGCAACAAAAAGATGTGACGGTATAACGAATGATGCGATTACGTCTATGCATCTTCTCATCCTCTCAATCTCTGGACTTATTTGCGTTAGTCTTCCCCGCCCCTCTCCTGCTGCCTTGGGTGTCAGGTATCAAACGAACCCAGATTGTTAACAGGCGTCCCTAGCAGGTGCGCCAAGATTAGAGACAACATGCTACACTGCAGTAGGTAGCCGTATGCACTCGCAGTGCCAGGTTATCACCAAGCACAGCTCCAAACATCAAGCCAGACATTCAAATACATGCGATCCCGCCCAACTGCCTGCCCACCTGACTCCATAACATCACATGTCATGTGTCCTCAGTATTATGTACCATGTTAAGAAGTGCTGGAACACATGGGTGAAAAGGTATCTATCAGCTGCGACTTAACGACAATAGGCCTTTCTCGATGAGCTGTTACACTAGAGTCTCAAGTTAGGTCTCGTCTATCACTATGTCCCCACTTCAGAACACGCCGTTCCGCTCTGCGGATATGAGCATGGTGCAGCTATTCGTCTACAACGAAATCAGTCGGGAGGTTGTCACTGCCCTTGGCGAACTTGGATTGTGCCAGTTCCGCGATGTAAGCCTCCATGCCCTATCCCCTCCTGGAATTCTACTCATATGTCGTTGCATCTAGCTCAATGAGGACGTAAGTGCATTTCAGCGTACTTTCACCCAGGAGATTCGACGACTACAAAACGTCGAACGACAGCTGCGTATGTCATTGCAACCACACGGAAAGTATGCAGCCTAACAGGTCGCGGGATACTTCTTTGTGCAGATTGAAAAAGCCGGAATGATGGTACATAAGCTTGATCTTAATGATACGCATCTTGCGTCGCCATCTGCATCAGAAATTGATGAACTTGTTGAGCGAAGCCAAAAGCTTGAGCAGCAAGTCTCCTCACTCAGTGACAGCTATGAGGCACTCCAGGAGCTTGTGGTCAGCCTCACCGAATGGCGCTGGGTGCTGAGGGAGGCTGGCAGCTTCTTTGATCGCACCCCCAGCAACATGGAGGGGATTCGCACTTCCCTGCGTAACGATGGCGTGGCTTTACTCTCCGATGTTGGACGGCATAGCACTACGTCGGACGTCGAGAGATCATTTTCTGGCATGAGCACCGGCTTCGTCGCTGGGGTCATATCTAGGGATCGTATTGCTACATATGAGCGGATCCTTTGGCGGACTCTTCGCGGTAACCTGTACATGAGACAGTCAGAGATCCTGGAGCCGTTACCTAACCCCACGACCAACGAGATTGTTAAGAAGAAGGTCTTTCTCGTCTTCGCTCATGGGGAAGAGAATGTCGCCAAGGTCCGAAAGATATCTGTATTCATGGGAGCGGGCTTGTATGATGTTAATGAGGACTACAACTTGCGAGGTGACCAAATTCAAGAGGTGAATAATCGTTTCGACGACGTGCAGAGCGTCCTTCGCAATACTCGGGCCACTCTTGAAGCAGAGCTCCACCAAATCTCGCAGTCTCTGTCTGCCTGGATGGTGCTTATTACAAAAGAGAAGGCTATTTACACCACCCTTAACCTGTTCTCGTTCGATCCTGCCCGTCGGATCCTTATCGCAGAAGGTTGGTGCCCCACCAACGATTTCCCTCTCATCAGATCTACTCTCCGGGACGTTACCAACCAGTTCGGCATCTCCACACCGTCCCTGATCAAAGAGGTTCGAACCAACAAGAAACCCCCTACTTATATAAAGATCAACAAGTTACTGAAGGCTTCCAGGCCATTGTCGATGCGTATGGTACAGCCACCTATCAAGAAGTTAACCCAGCCGTGCATGTCATCGTTACCTTCCCTTTCCTCTTTGCTGTAATGTTTGGCGACTTCGGGCACGCTGTTACCATGCTCGCTGCGGCATTGACTATGATCTATTGGGAGAAACCACTGCAGAAGATCACATTCGACCTGTTCGCTATGGTCTTCTATGGCCGATATATTATGCTGGTCTTGGCCGCCTTCTCTTTATTCACTGGCCTTATTTACAATGACACCTTCTCCAAGTCCTTGACCCTCTTTGACAGCGCTTGGATGTTCAAGAAGCCGGAAGGCTGGCGAGACAAAATGGTTGTTTCTGCTACGTTGAACAGCGACGGCTATCGCCACCCGTTTGGCCTAGATTGGGCATGGCATGGGGCAGAAAATGAGCTTGTCTTCAATAACAGCTACAAAATGAAGATGAGTATAGTCCTCGGCTGGGCTCACATGACCTACTCGCTTTGCTACGCCTATATCAACGCGAGACATTTCAAGAAGCCTATTGATCTCTGGGGTAACTTCATTCCTGAAATGATTTTTTTCCAGGCTATCTTCGGTTACCTCGTCATGTGCATCATCTACAAGTGGTCCGTGGACTGGCTTGGCACTGGTGCGCAGCCTCCTGGACTTCTGAATATGCTGATCTATATGTTCTTGCAACCCGGGACACTTGATGAACGCTTGTACTCTGGGCAAGGGTATGTTCAAGTCACCCTGCTTTGCATAGCTTTTGCCCAGGTTCCGATCCTGCTCTTTCTCAAACCCTTTTATCTCCGCAGGCAGCACAATCGCGCCCGCGCTCAGGGCTACCGTGGCGACGGTGAAACCTCCGTTGTTAGCGGCCTGGACAGAGGCGATGAGAGCAGGGCTTTAATGGAAGGACAAGGTAATAGCTTTGATGAAGATGACGAGAGAGTCGCAGTAATTACCCAAAATATAGACGAAGATCCTTCCGAGTTCGAATTTGGCGAGGTCATGATTCACCAAGTTATCCACACTATTGGTAATCTGCCACTTTATTTGGAACCTAGGGAGACGCTGAGTCCTGACCTTTACCCGTAGAGTTTTGCTTGAACAGCGTTTCCCATACTGCTTCGTACCTACGTCTCTGGGCCCTATCGCTAGCCCATCAGCAACTGAGTGTGGTGCTTTGGAACATGACTCTGGGTCGGGGTATGAGGATAGGAGGTGTTGTGGGCGTTGTTATGATTGTCGTATGTTTTTATGTGTGGTTCTTCCTCAGTAAGCTTAGCTTTCCATCTCGCCGTACAATATGGACGTTGACAAATTTCATAGCAATTGTTATTTTGGTGTGCACGGAGGGTACCAGTGCCATGCTGCACTCGCTTAGATTGGCCTGGGTTGAGTCTTTCTCCAAGTTCGCAGAGTTCGCGGGTTGGCCTTTTGTACCATTCTCATTTAAAACTTTGTTGGAGCAGTCGGAAGAGTTGAAATTCTACTTGGCATGACAGTGCTTCCCATAATCCTTCCCATATCCCTTGCCATGGTACCATGTCCGTTGTCGCCATTATCTGGCACCGTGAAGGGAGCTGGGCAGTGATGTGCTATATATGCAATAACGACGGAAGTCGTGGATATTGCCTTCAGAGGACGTGTAGTTCTGTGTGCAGCTCGCAGGTTTCCCGCTATAAGCCAGCTTGGTTGTAATGGGAGCGGGTGGCCCGCTAAATTCCAGGCGTCACAAGAGTCGTCAGCCAAGAGCTACATTATCATCCCAGCAATGCAATCGGCTGCAACACCTTAACTTTCATGATGGCCCACGGTAAGAAGCATGGTTTGAAGGACTGAAGTACCGTCACAGAGAGGAGGGAGGGTGAGTGGTAGCCATGGGTCAGGGACAGGGAGCCGGCAGAACACCTCGTCGGCGTAATGCTTCACAACCCAAGCATTCCCTAGAAATATGATGATTAAATTGATTTAGGCGGTCAATGTTCTGATAGCCTCGTGCGTTCCGCAGTGTGTCGTCGTACGTGTCACCGTGTATGTCGCTGTGTATGCTGCCGGGATCAATTTGAGCGATGCCGCTAGTTTGCAACTTTGCGGCCGCGCTGCGCAACATTCCTTCCAGAAATTGATGGGGAACAGGGTGGGGTAACTAGGTGAGTCAAAAGTGTGACATATCTTTGCAAATAGAGATTCACATCTGTGCAAATAGCAATACTCTAATTGTATTACAGCTTGGAGCCTTTCTCCAGTGTTTTAGAATCCTATCTACGGCAGCTGAAGCGGTGCCGGCTGTCAGTGAATGAGTTTTAAGGGCCCGAGCAACTGGCCAAGCCTTGCCTTGAATCTTGGAACACAAGGGGAACCCATGATCCCACAGCGCCACCTTTGTCCCTGCCCGCCATTCCACGCTTTGCCTATCCACGAGTCCCTTAATGAGCCTTCATTGAACTCATCGAGTCGTTTGTAGCACCTTGTCGACCAGGCATCTGCACGAGGGTCCAAGTTAGATAGGTGCTCTGAATGTGCATTGCACTTTAGCTGGCTAACTTGCCTCCACTGTCTGGATGGTGCCTTCCATCAATATCTTCTTGATTGCCTCGTCGAAGTCCTCGGTTCCGAACTCAGATGCAAGAATGCCTTTGGAGGCGGTATCGTACGGGCCCTGTGCACCTTGCCTGTACAATACTTGTTAGCATACGGCGCCTCGATCGTGGGGTATTGTACGCCGATGACTATGTGGTACCGCCATAGTAGCGCCACCAGCCAACAACACATTTTCCCATGAAACATGGTTATACAGAGTACTCTCAGTTCTCAGTCGAGATGTTGCTGGTTCGGGGAGATTACTCCAATGGGGAAGGCATGCAGAAATTGGCTTACTTGTGAGTCTGGAAGACCACAAGCGGGGAGACGAAATGAACCAGAGGGATGCTGTTGTGGTTCATCCACTTCTTGTAGGTTCCAACATCGTCAACGAATATGATGTAGTCGTCGAGCTTGCCCTTATAGTGGACCTTGGACTGTGATCCTTCTCCTCGAGTCATTTTGGTAGATTAGTGCAGCAACAGTGAGGATCTGAATGGTGGGGGATATCATGTAACATCGACGTCACTTAAAACGTCTCCATGGGCATCTTTTGTTTATATGGCATTGGAATATTCATGATGCCATGGATATGTCATATCAATTCAATTATATTGGATACAAGTATACTGTAGGCTGTGCTCTTGTGACCAATAGCGATCTTGAGAATACTGGGAAGAGTGAGCAGGAGACCAGTCCGATACTCAAATTATCACACCAGTACTGTACCTGTGCCCTAATGTTAGGTTGCAAGTTGATGATGATTGGGTTGAGCCAGCCTTGGCGAAATGCAGTCATACACCGCGACTGAAATCCGACGACCACAGCTAGTCGTGGCTGCCCATACCAAGAAGTCGCCCCGAGACCAACTCCTCACCGATGGCCATGGTGATCCTGATTGGTTTTTACTGTCGGAGGCGGCTCCGAAGCCTCTGCCAAATGAGCAGACAACGAGGCTTGGAACGACATGGCCCAAACTCCCGAGGTAGGTTAGCATGTGAGGTGCTGATTGGATCAGGCTACTCGGAGTGCATCCGAAGTCCGCAACAAATGAATGTCAAGCATTCGATACCATGTGTGTCGCACTTTCACGTGCTGAAAAATTGATGATAAAAAGTTATGTTCTTGATTAAACTTGTACGGTGCGGGGTCCCATCCCGCAGATGTCTTAAGTACACAGGTGCATTACTAACATCATTTACGGCAGCCTATGGAGGTCACTTGTTGCAAAACTCAGAAAGGCACAATCCAAGGTGGAGACGACAGAAAACTAGCCCCACAGTACATTGGGCGATGTACCTCAGCTTGCACTTTTATGGAATTTCGGTGCCAACAGCACTTCCAATGACAGCTGCGAGGCACCAACGGCCATACAAGAGATATACGAAACTGTTAAGACCTTTGACCCTTCAGTAATCATCTCCTCCTCCCCCCCTTTTGGCCCCGGATATAGTCAGCCGCTGATAATTAACTCACTTAAGGCATCGTAGCCAGTTCGCTTGATTCACTCTCAGTGCCAAGCAGCGCCTCTGCAATTGTCTACAGCTCCAGAGGCTTTCGCTCTTCATAAGTCTTCTCGTGCCTCTTCCTCTCACTATGGAAAGCCAAGCCAGACTGGGTTTTTTTTAGACGCATGGATGCCGCACCAAGGGTCATCATGGGTTGCGATCAGCATGTCCCATCTGGCAATTCAGCCGTCAAACAACGCGACAGCAACAGGGACCTGAAATTGCAGTCCACAGCAGCCCAGTACGCTTCCCCCATAGCAATAGATCAGTGGCAATTTCTTGCGTAATCCCAGCAAGCTGCACCGGTATCTAAACCATGCGCATTAGCTTTTGTCCCGCAAGAAGCAACCCATTTACTATTATGGGAGGCGCACCACTGGCTGGGGGGCGCTCCACTGCCGCGGTAGTCCGCAGCAGGCCCAACACTGGACCACTGCGAAGTTTCCCTCTAGCACCTGCCAAATGCTGCTGTTTCAGAATTTGGACATATGCAGGACGTCGCTGTCTTCAAATAACGAGCACATGAAATCTCAATTAAGGATTACACACAATATCCACTGGATCTAAACTTCTTCTAGAATAATCTTAACATAGGACTGGAAATAAGTTGTGCGAGATTCTGTGCCCATGTTATCACCCACGATACCGAGTACTGTGCAACGATACTCCAGTAGGTTGAGATCGCTTTATCCATTCACAAGTCATCCAATGGACACACTCAAAATATCGTGCGGACCCTTAGTACAGCAGCCACAGGGCCAACCCGAACCTGTCCGTCCTAGTGGTGCTCAATTTTGCAGGCCATGAAGCTGGACCTAGATGAATTTTTCCACATTGAGAATGACAAGAGTAGAGAGCCAAAGAACTCCACAAGGTAAGGCTTTCGAATGTCTCATCGGCGTCGGCAACCGCCAAGGTCAGCACAGTCTCTTGCGCAAAGTACGGTTCTCCTCGGTGCAGAAAGCATGGCGGGTGCCTCGAGAAGACAATGCAGGACACTGAAGGGAATACGGATGAAGTGAGAACTACAGCATTAATTAGCCCCTCCGTTGCTCGCCACCACCCCCGACACTTGAATGCTACCCCGCCAAACCCACCAGAACCAGGTGAGGTGAGGTACCAGTTGGCTAGCTCTGACGTAACCGCATCCTCCATGCCGGCGACGACTGCATCAAGACGCCACGCCCTCGCATCCAGCTACTGCTCCTCCATTGACGATGCTGAGCAGCGCGTCTGCCTTCTTTCTCGCGTACACCACCAGGACTCGTTCGTTCGCCTCCTCTATTCTCAACCGGACTATCATCCGATTCACGATGTCTCACACTAACCTACATAACCTATAGTCGGCATCACCGTCGGCGCAGCATGTCGACCAACTTCCGTGACCGGGCCATCGCCGAGGTCCAGAAAGCTATTACCGCCGACTATGCCAAAGAATACCAGAGCGCCTTCGATCTCTACATGTCCGGCATGGAGATGTGGATTAAAACCCTCAAGTGGGAGAAAAGCAGGGCACTCAAGACAATCATGCAAGAGAAGATGGCAATGTATCTCGGTCGCGCCGAAAATATCAAACAGTTTCTACAATCCGAGGCCGATAACAACGCCAACCGAGGCAAATCGCGTATGGGAGCAAATGGCGCGGCCACTGGCACAAGCAAGGCAGAACTTCAAGATGACGAAAGCAAGAAACTCAGAAATGCCTTGTCGGGTGCCATCTTGCATGAGAGGCCAAACGTTCGGTGGGAAGACATCGCAGGCTTGGAAAGCGCAAAGGAAACTCTCAAGGAAGCCGTTATATTGCCCATAAAATTCCCCAACTTGTTCCAGGGGAAACGCCAGGCGTGGAAGGGTATTCTGCTCTACGGTCCCCCTGGTACCGGCAAAAGCTATCTCGCCAAGGCTGTGGCAACGGAGGCCAACAGTACATTCTTCAGTGTCAGCAGCTCAGACTTGGTGAGCAAATGGATGGGTGAAAGTGAAAGGTGGGACATTCTTCACATATCCGCGGTGGTACTTTTGCCATACTAACAGTCAGTTTTGTGCAGACTCGTCAAGGCTCTTTTCTCCGTGGCAAGAGAAAACAAGCCGTCGGTAATATTTATAGACGAAATTGACGCCCTCTGCGGTCCCCGTGGCGAAGGTGAATCTGAAGCTTCAAGACGTATCAAGACCGAGATTCTTGTCCAGATGGATGGTGTGGGCAATGACAGCAAAGGCATTCTCGTTCTCGGCGCTACTAACATTCCTTGGCAACTTGATGCAGCCATCCGTCGACGATTCCAAAGACGTGTCCACATTGGTCTTCCAGACCTCAACGGCCGAGCGAGAATGTTCAAACTGGCTGTTGGTGACACTGATACTGCCTTGCAGGCTAGTGATTACACCGTCCTTGCCAACAAATCGGATGGATTTTCTGGAAGTGATATTACCAACGTGGTCCAGCATGCTCTGATGCGTCCTGTCCGCAAGATCCTGCGGGCAACTCACTTCAAGGTTGTATGTTTTGGCCCGAATCATGATGTATCCTCTAGAACATGCTAACAACTATTAGGTTATGAAAGACGGGAAGCAAATGTTGACGCCGTGCTCACCAAGTGACCCAGAAAAGATTGAGATGACTTACAACGGTGTCAATTCAGATGAAATATTGGCGCCTGATGTCGCACTGAAGGACTTCGAGATGGCACTAGAAGATTCACATCCTGCGGTGTCTAAAGAGGATGTTGCGAAGCAAATCAATTGGACCAACCAGTTCGGAAGCGAAGGTGCCTGATTTTGGTTGGGCAGTTTGAGGATGCCGTTCTTCCTCACGGGCTTTACTCGGTGGTTCTCATGGCCAGCGGGAGCGGGTCCGTGGCCAATTTCAAATCTTGACTGCTCAGTGCATGACTGTGGGTGAGAGGTTGTCTAACTTCTCGCAGCGCGGGTTGCGCGTATAGAGCCGGGCCGAGTGCTAACCTTGGCATCCAGAGTTATGTTGTGTAGGCGTGGCTTTTTCTTGTCGCTGAGCGCGAATAGGCGCTCGTTCCAAAGAGGTGGAAAGAAGGAACTGTCTCCAAAAAGGAAGCGACCTATGACTCTCTGTTGATGGCAGTGTTATGGCCGTATCTCGATTGGCGTACTCTAATAGGCTTGTGGCTGGTTTGCGACGTGACTTCGTCATTGATGACCATGCCGATGTCAACCATGTCTCTGAAAATGTTCCCGCAATCTGTCAAGTCAGTTCGCAAGCACATAGCTGTGCAAGAGGCTTGACTGGAGTCCATGTCAACAAGCAGCTGCCCCTGTGCCCTCGTATTGTCTATGTGGATCTAAAAACGGAAGGAAAGAGGGCTCCAGACGAACCTTGAGCTCGCGGCCATGTAGTTGCCACGTGGCAACTTAGTCGAGGTTAACTGATTACACAGAACAGACTGGTTCGGCGCCGAAGCTCTGGCCCTGCGCCCGCTTGTTGAACCAAACCGCAGTCAACTTCTTACACCCTGCATGACAATCGGAAGTATTTACGTTTTATTTTTTCATGGCTGAAACGCGGCCTGTGGAGACACAAGGCGTAGTAGCCAACGCCTCGCCATCTCAGCGCTTTCACTGGTCCTATCCAGCCCTCGGTCTGTCGACAACCAGACGAATTACACTCAGGATCAGTGTATCGCATTGAGCCCCAAATATCGAAAGCGGCGCCAAGTTTCCACTGATGTGAGTCGTGCCGACTGTCCATTCGCCATGGCTATTTTCGCCGCGCAGGGTTCGGACCACGCTGCCAAGAAGAAGTCTAAGTACAACGGGTTCCCAAGTTAAAGAAGGGCTCAGGTCAGCTCTCAGTCCAATCCTCACCTTCCGCCCGAAGGGACAAATTCAAGATGAGCCAGTCTATAGGTCTATCCCACAGTACAGAGCCGAGACAGTGGTGGAAAATGACGAGGTACAACAGTTTTGTCTGCGCACACAGTAAGAAACTCGCCGCCACAAATGACGCGGAGACCCCCAGTAGCGGGCTAGTGTTGCCTTATTAATCGTCTTCTCAAACGGCTTAGATCGGACAGATTGCTTTAACAGTCCCAGATGTCAAGATCAGGCAGCCGCTGGCATTCACCAAGGCTAAGGGATTTTCGGGTGATGCGCCGGATTTTAACCGGCCTACGCGTTGGACTTCAATGCAGAGCAACACAACACACACCAATTGAAATCCCTTAAAACTGGAGAAATGATAAGAGTATAACTGTGAGATATATATAAATCTATGTCATAATCTTCAAGCCATCGTGGCCGCTTACTATTCCGCTGCGGCCGCCCCGAGTCCCGATATGACACTACCATCTCTCGAGCACTCTCAACAACCAGAGAAGGTCTTTTTGAACCAACTATTCCTGCTGAAGTCATCTTCAACTTCTTCTATGACGTTGTCTTGCAGTGACTTGGTGATATCGAGGGTGCCGGCATCTCCACAGTTGACGGAAGAGCGACGATGATTTCGTCCTGAGTCCTCTCATTCTCTTCGATAGCATCAAATCTTCCTGCAGCTTTGGCTGCTTCTGTTTGGATATTCTCCGATTGGATTCTCTAAGAGCTCGGCTTCTGTACTTGAGGTTGTTACGGTGGTCTGCTTCGATGCCTTCCATGCAATCTGTCCGCCGTATAGCCTTGGTATGTAGCCTTGTGAACTCTTTCGACCTTCTGTGTTGTCAGCTAATGATGCGTCACTCGAGCAAATGAAAGTTTCAATTGGTTTGTCGTTACGTTCATCAATCTTACCAAGTCGTATTGCATATGACTCTGTGTAATAGAGATATTGAATCACTCCATCCGCTGCTACATGGTGTATATCGCTTGGATTGAGGCAGTGCCGTGCAAGTAGGCTGACTGCGAATGAAATATCTGGACTTGTTGATATGACTGCGAACAAAATGGATCCAACATTTTGGGGTATAGCTCAATTGACTTCTTTGCCGCTTGTGTCTCTGATTTCAGCTGCTCTTCTAGGCCCATAGCTGTGACTGGCACTTGATATCTAGCTGAATGGAAAACTTGTGTTGTATTTTGTCAATATAAGCATCTTGTGTTGACCAGATTCTTCTGTTCTGCCTATCTCTCAAGATGTGAATTCCACGAAACCACTTTGGTTCGCCCAGCTGCGTCATTTGGTATCGACTTTCAAGCCTTCTATAGCTTCATCGACTATTTCTTGAACGGCTTTTCTGTATGCCCAGATAATGTCATCAACAAAAAAGAATACGTGACAGGACCTTTAGTCATAATGCATGGCTTCTGCGGAACTGGTTGAAAGCCTAACTCTTGGAGGCTCTTTGCCAACTCCTTTTGCCACAACAGTGGTGACCTTCGCAAGCCTTAGAGTGCCTTCTTCAACCGTAGCACTCTGCCGTATTTTCGTAACCTGGTAGCATTTGCATATAGACAACTGCGTCTAGTTCGCAGTTGACAAATGCATTGACAGCATCCATCTGTCTAAAACTACTTATACTAAATAATACCATAGTATACCTAAAATTTAAATATAACTATTAAGCCTATTAGGCAATAGACTTATCTTCTAGATTTAACTTAATTTCTATTTCTATACGAAATTTGTCTTGTATAAGATAATAGCAGCAGTTACTTTGATATAGTACCTCTTAGCCCATAGATACTTCTCATTTAATACGAGGCAATTAGCACCTCTCACATAGATGCTCTCAATGTATTGCGATTCCACAATTGTCTGACACTACGTCTAAGCGATATTCACGTCGAGGACAGTGATCTACCATATCGAGGTACAGGTGAAGAATATGTGACGGTACAAGGGCACGAACAAGGTCGAGTGCGGCTTGGATAAAGCGATTGTTCACAAGGAGAGTAAGAGATTCCGAAGGAAGCGCTGACTCGAGCTGCCTAAGTTCTAAAGTGGGGCTGTTCCCTTACGATCGTCATCTATCCTATCAACATCAGTGAATACAGACCTCTGGCAATATAATACATATTCCCCTGTGTAAATCACACCAAATAACATCACTAAACGTGACAGCTCATCATTGACTAAGAAAATGGCGGGTCAACACTGGTAATATAAGGGAGGATTCAAGTAATCTTTAGGTGCCTTTCCAATGCTGTTCATAACGATATTGGCCTCCTGCTCTACAGCTTCACGGGGATATTTTCGAGCCCTCCTGCGATAGAGTTAGGGGCAGCCTCACACAAGAGGATCCGTATATTGTATGCCCCCTGTCTTGAAGTTTATAAACGATGGCGGTGCAGATGGGGAGCATCGATCTCTAAAGCGGATAACAATCAGTAGTATCAAGAAACAAGTGGGTGTTGGTGTCAGTAAGTCCACAAACAACGCTGGTGCTTATACGCTCATCATAGACATTGTCCTCGGCTTCTTTCTACAGTAATGTAGACGACTTATTTGATTATAGAAAGAATACAAGGTAACTATTATTATGGTATATAGACGCTCCATTTGTGCCCGCAGGTTCTCTGGCGTGGCCGCGTTGTCAGCAGTAATGCTCATGTCAAGAGCCGTCAGGCTCGCTCTGCCTAACCGGACTTGACACCGCCTTGGCTGTCGGCCTTGAATATGATGTCTTCGGCCAATACATGGCCAACTGTAGAGGCTGGCTCCTCTATCTTCGTACTGTGAACAGACTCAGCCTCTATACTGGGTTGTAGTGGCGTCGCATTGTCGTGTTTTGTGTGTTTGCCATGATTGTTGTTGCTTGACCAGCTTTGCAACAGAGGCAAACCTGACAGCTTTAGGATATTATAAGACAGATAATCTTCTATTAAGAAAGAACACAAGGATGGTTGTAATTTTTGTCCTGATTTCAACCCAGGTGCGGCTAGCGGCATTGGCGTTACTAGAGGATGCTGTTCTGACTCTACACTTTCTCATTTATGCTACGCTTAGAATAGAAAAAGGATTTACATGACTTATGCGTATGCTAAAATATTTCCTGGCTATTTCTAACCTCTATTATTACTGGTTTAATTAATATTTCTCTCATCGAAAAGGGTCGTGTACTCCCTCAACATCAAATTGTCCTCAAATTGGTCCGCAAGATATTCCACGGTGGAAGAACTAGGCTCCGACAAAGCGCGGCGGAGATCCACCATGAAGGTTGCCCGTATCCCTCCAGCGATGCGATCAGGGCTCCTATTTTCAAAATGAAGTAGAATGCGACGTGCCGAAGCACTCGATATTGTCACGTTATGAGACTCATGTTAACTAAGCTTCTTGATAAAATCATTATTCTTGTTGTTGCGAGTGCTGCAGACGGAGTCTGCAGCTCTCTTTTTAATACCAAAGAACTTCCTTTCGTCCGAATCTAACTTTCGGCTAAGTTTAGTCATGATAGCCGACGCTATGACATCCAGCAATTACACCAAGCTCTGCGACTTCAGTCTACAGAGGCATTATCCGACAGATATATCGCCATTCCGCAAGGCCATCGATAGAAGGCCCTTTGAAATCGCTTCAGCAAGGCGCCATGAGCGGCTTAGCCTCTGGTAACCATATAAGCAGAGCAGCAGGTACGAATACCAATCTTCATCTTTATTACTATTAAAGACGGCATTCGCAACATATATTAATGCGGTATGCCACAGAATAGTAAAGCTCGAAGACGTGTAATTCAAATGGTAATTAACAATAAGTCGTTTGAGTCGGGTGGTAGAGCGTTCACAAATAGCATTAGGGGTATAAGAACTAGTATTAAAGGTTGTCAAGCACCGGTCTCCGTGTGAGGTGTCGTTGATGAATGGGCGGAATATGTCGAGGACCGCTGCATGAAACCAGAGGCTATATTGATTGATTCAGCACAATGTTGACATGTTCTTTCGTTGTGTGACAACTCACTGCATAACTTGCACATGGTGATGTTGACTATGTTGGTTCGCGGACAATTGGGGAGGTAGGGTATTACTCCAGGCCAGAAGTTCCCGGAATTTGAATTCCGCAAACTCCAGAGAGCCACGTGAGCCCCAGGGAAGCTTGCCCTTGGCATGGTAAACCCAACTTACCTCGCGTACAATAGTCCAAAACCGACAAAGGTATGGGAATGTGTCTCCCATATACACGGGTAATGATGGTACGCTCTCAGTGTCACTGCGGAAAGAACCACAGCGGGATGTATCCAGCATGGCCCTTTTTGGAATCGGAATACGTGGAGGGGAACTTGGACAGACCATTCCTGGCTGATGGTAAAAGAGGGACATGAGCCTTTTGGGAGCGTTAGCTATTGGCATTGCATTTGTCGAGATGGAAAGATACTGACGTTAGCCAGTTGAAGATCCCCCATGCCGCGTACATGTGCGATGTCTTGGCAGCACCAGCGAGATTAGAGTAGCTACTCGTCTCCATTCCGCTGACCTGTCCTTCGGTGTTAAATAAGCCCATCCGGCCGGCCATATCTGCAGCCTCGGTGAGGTATCTTAGAACCACATGATCTCTGCCTTGTCCTAGATAACCTAAGCATAAAAACTCGGTTGCCGCGAGAATCAGTATCGAATCATTGCCTTTATGACGCTCGGCCGTCCAGTGGCTTTCTGCTTCTGTACAGAAACGGATCGCTATTTGGTCCGTTTGCGGATCAATGGCGCTATACATTTGCTACAATATCGGTCAGCCTAGCTGTTGCAATGCGCAAAGGGGCAAATCATACACAAGCCCAATATAATAATGAGTTGACTAGGAGTGGAGTACAGTAGTCGCTGCTTTGCTCTAAAATTAGATGTGACACAAATAATTCGGCATCAAAATGCCCTAACAGAGGGTGGTCAGTCTCAAGATAGAGAGAAATGCATTTGGCTGCCAAATCATCATCTATGTCGACGTTTGTCCAATGACGAATATTTAATTTGCGGAGTCGAGAATCGCACAGTTCATGCGGTTCTTCATATTCATACCTCGCGGTGTCGTTACACAGCTTGGCAGATCGTGGGTCGGGTATCAGACTAGACGGATTAGATCTCTGCTCGTAATACCTGTTCTTTGTCATTGCCAGTGAGACTGCTGCACTCACGTATCCGCATGGAAGTCATGGCCTGGGGATTTGGTTAATCCACGATATGGATCTTTTTGGAACAAGTTCGTATCCCGGCCTGCTGTTCCTGGATAGGCGATGGGATTCTGTATCTGCCACTCCTGTGGCGTAGGCTTGTCATCATCATTAGAAACTGGTACCGCAGTTGAATTGTCTACTTCGGTCTGTCGGCATGATAAGCCCTTCCTTAATGTCGATAGTATTGTCAGTGCGTCCTCTTCGTCCTCTTCGTCCTTCAATATATTGAAGGGCTTCCTTGGTTGGCATTTGTCCAAGAATCCGCAGTACCTCAACGACGAGATCTTTGGACTCTTTCGACGGACCTCCTTCGTCTCTGTATTCGCAGCGCTCGGTTTTACCTTGGCAATTAGAGCACACAGGCCGCTGACCGTCGCACTGTATGGCTTCCTTAGGTTGTGCTTCATAGCTGAAAAAAGGAACGTACCCTTATTTTTCTCCGTCGGCAATCATTGCATGCTACTGAAACGCCGACTCGCGGTTTCTTGGGTTCCAAAGACTCGGACCCGGCACCATGCCCTTGGTCTTGCTCTCTGTCCCTCGGGCTCGAAGGCCTGAGCGGTACATAACGGCGCTCCATTGGCGCTAGCGAGGAAAGGCAATATCACGTACTTCCAGAGTTGTTATGAAAGAATATTGGTGGGTGGCGATATTGTGGAGGTCGAGGTATCGCAGTGACGACGTTGAGCTTCCGGGGGGAAATAAAGATGGGGGAATTTGGAACGGGTTCCGTCAGCCAATGAGAAGCGCCCGATGGCTGACAGGCTCCCAGTACATTTGTAGTAAGTACCCTAGCTATTATTCTTCCCTAGCCCTAATGACTGCTATCTGGCCTGATGTCAGCCTGCTACTAAGTCTGCCTGTCACACAGCACGATTGTATGGAACAGCTTGCACAAAACGAGAAACTCTTGATTTCCTACTGTACATAAAAAAATGGAATGATACGAAACTAAATACTTGTTGTAATACTGCTGCCTGGAAGGCAGCAGTATAGCAATGGCTGTTGCCTTGAATGAGCGACTTGATCTTGACACTGCCTTTGTTCTATCAACAGAGACAACTTTTATCTGGCAAATATTCCATAAATCTCGACGCTTATGGGATCTTGCCTACATTAGAAAATCTTCCTGTCAAGATTGTCAGATGGCAATGATGTGATACCTCTTTTTTATCGCGGTGCTGACTGTTGGGATCACAAGGCAATTGGGGATGCAGTACTGCAACAGGGGTATAATATCAATTCAAGTCTATCTTCTCTATTCAAGGTAGGAAAAAGGGGGAGCGTTGGTAGTCACGATATCTATACATGGTGTCTCCCCCTATTACGGGTCTACACATGACGTCACACGTGATATTAAGTTGTGAATATTGTAACACTGACAATGATAGAGCTGTCACGTTATGAGACTCATTGTTAACTAAGCTTATTTCTTGAATATAAAATTATTGTTGTTGTTTTTCTATCCTTCAGAAGGGTTCATGTCTTTTATCTTTAGTTTAGAAGACTTCCCAGCCACCTGATGAAATCAGGGTGGCTGGCCAACCTCTCAACTATTCAACGCGGCGAGGAGAGAGAGTTTTAGAGGTCATGATTGGGCCAGTAACGTTCCGATTAAACCGGGAATACTCGGAGCATGATATTTAAGACGGAACAGGGAATATATACTATTATAGAGCAGAAGAATATAAAGCGAATAATGGTGGCATACTGGAACACGAATGCCCGAAGTTCAAGGGAAAATGTATTAGGCAATTATTGCCGTGTTTTAGGATAGGTCATCCAGCTAATGTGTCCGAGTCGCCAGCTCGATGTGTGCAGAACAAAACTTTCTATGCCAAACATACACAATGACGACGACTTATGAATCAAAACGTGTTGGTCGCGGATATAGGTATTTAGGTGTATATGGTGCGCCAACTGCACCCAACTCACCTAACCATAATCGATAGACACAAACATCGATTCGCTTTCACAACGCACCTGATCTTGATAGAGCAGTGGACCTAACTTCAGACCCTAGAAACTTCCGTGGAAGGTATTCGCTGCTGCTTTCGCCTAATCCACTGCAATAAACTCCTCAAGAAGGCTATTGTCAAAGTACTCGCAAAGAGTGTCAAGCTTTGCAGCATTGCGATTATTAAGGGCCAAGTCTAGGTCAACGATTAAGCCGATTCCCATTTGTTTGAGGGCTGCGTGGTGGGTGACACTGGAATACATTTGGTCAATCAAACCTCGAGCTTCAGCTGGCTGCACGACACCAAGACGTAGTGCGATTGATAGCAGGCTCTTGGCAATTTTGCCTGAAATACGGAAGCCAATAAATAGATCGGTATAACTATCCAGTCAGAGCGTAAAGTAGGATTGCCACTGTTTGTCCGTAGTATTGTGTAGCGCCCAAATAGCACATGCAACAGAGCAACATGCCAAAGTATAGCACACGAAGCACGCGGAAACGTATGTCGAAACACAATAACGAGGTGTTTCAGCTGATTTAGGGATGCCGTAAGTATATCATTTGAAGAGTGGAAATCCCTCTCAGGGGTTGCCTGAATTCGGTCTCTCGCGAAAGGACGGAAGAGCTAGACAATTGATGCGTGAAACCACATGCTGCTTCTCAGTTAGTATGATTAGTTCATTTGAAGAGTAGAAAGTGTGCCGTAACTGGAATATTATGTTTTGATGTGAACTCTGAACCCCACGAGCTTGGATTAGGCTGATGCCATCAGACCATCGAAGCAGTTTCAGAAATATGCGATTTGCAAACTCAATTGTCACATGGTCAAGCACAGTATTTCGTTCGCCACCATAATAAGCCGATGTCCACTCGCTCGTGATCGCCCAGAACTCATACAGTAGAAAATGCCAGGCTGCTGTCGGCATGAGCATGACGATTAGAGTCATCCTCCCACAGCGGTTCGCCGCGTTGTGAGGAGCCGTCACTCCCAGGAGGACTAGCATTCGGTGGAAAGAGAAGTGCCGGTTCTCCCTCTTGAAACATGAACGAACGCATTCTGTTTATTTGTTAAAATTGGCCCACAAACCGCCTCATTTGGGTCATTTGATGAGCGACTTACGCGGCCAAATTGAATGCTCCCCAGGCTGTACGCGCAGAAGCTTTCTCCCACGACTCGGGATCTTCGATATACTCGATCGGAATGTTATAATTTGCAAGACCGAAAAGGCCCATTCGCTGGGCCATACCAATACCGAGTTTTTGGTAAGAATATCCATCACCACTGCCGTTGTACATACTTCTGAGAGCCAGAAGTTGTGCAGCGGCAATCGTCGGTAAAGAATCCGATGGCTGGTCAAGATGCCACAGATTATCCGGTTCATCGAAGAGCTCGTCACCTATCGAGACAATCTCTGCATCAAAGTTGCAGTAGGCTAGCTATCTTAAACTATTAATTGCGGTCCATTGAGACTACAGTTTTCTTCACTCACACATGCCCAAGATAGGATTGAAGAAACAAGAAGTTCGGAGCAATACCGGACACGTTGGTCGACAAGGTCTGTAAGGAATAGGTCATAGTTAAAGAATCCTAGAGTAATATGGTCAGTCTCCAGGTACAATGACAGCAATGTGGCTGCAAGGTCATTAGTGATTTTTATCCTGCTCCAAAACCTAATATTCAAAAGGCTCAGGCGCGAGTCGTAGTACCTCTCCGAACTTGACGGAGAACTTCCTTCGAGGGGATGTGCTCCTAGAGTCGAAGGCTCAGGGATAAGGAATACTGGGTCTTGAGGGCTAATTCGGTTTCTTTTTTGCGAGAGGGACAGAATAGTTAGTCCAAAAATCAAATCAGGGATATAGTAGTATGTCTTGAATAAGATATTAACTTGCAGGATCTTGGAAGCGGCGCTGGCTGTGAGGTGGGACGCAAGGCTGGATGTAAGGCCAAGGGCAGAAGCATCGAGAGGCGACAGAGTAGGGTAAGCAAAGGCATGCCGTATCATCAATTGAAATTCAATGCTGCCTTGGGTTGGGAGCTTGCCTACAGCCAGCCGCGGCAACGCCTCGTCAAATGAACTGCTATCCTGGGATAACAAGCTATTAAGGTCCACAGTTGTGAGCCTTAGCTTCTGTAGCAAATATAAGGACCTGAGTTCTGGCAATGTCCTTAACATATTCAGCAGCTCCTGCAATTTGCTCTTTTCCTGCTTCAGCGTCTCTATCTCCCTCCTTATAGCCATTGCTGGCGTCTCCTCAAGGCCAGCAGAGACGTAGGTGCATGGTGTGCCGCGTCTCATACACCTCGTACAAGATGGCCTGTTGCCATCACACTAAACCAAAGATAAGCGAAACAAATAGTATCAAGAAAGGACGAATAGCGTCCCGCATGCCCACGGCCGTGGATGTAGGATATGCACGTACTCCCGTCTTCCTAACTCGGCAGGTATTGCAGGCTACGAAGGTTGATCGTCTCCGTTTAAGCCGCTCGCTCTGTGGCGTGTCCGAGGCCTCGTGTGTCCGAGACCCAGAAGGGTTCGGGAGTATGTATTTGTTCGATTTCATTGTGTAGTAATATCGCCAGAGTACGCTGTAACACGAATAACTGCGCTTATAATCAATATATCGGACGGATGACGAGGTATGAACTTCCGACAGGTCTAAGGACCAACGGAATATGGTAGTCAGCGTTTCAGGGGCAGTAGGTGTACTGAAGAGGGAAGATGGAAGATGGTGAACGGGAGATGGAAGAGGGGGGGTTTAGGTCCATGGTTACTACCAGATAATCAAGTAGTATCAATGTCTAGTCGCCTCCCTCCCAATGACGGTCGAGACCAAGGCTGTTGGCTTTTCAAACACGTCAAGATTATGATAAAGTGGGCTTTGCCTGTCCAGACATATGCTCCATGTCGACTAAATGCAGAGAGCTTCGGCGCGGACCAGTCCGATGTGTGTATATTAAATTCATTTCGCGTAAGTTTCCACTCAGCAACCATATGGTCGCAAGCTCGAGGCGAGCCTCGAGCTGGTTCTCCTTTTTTCCTCCTTAGCTTTAGATGAGACAATTGTACGGGCACCCATATGTTGAACAAACAGTGCTCCGCCTCTCACACCAGGGACCAAAGCCAACATCCAAAATCTAGCTACTAGATTCGCCTAGAGCGGTCTTCCGCCTGATGATACCTTTCTCTCTTCCACCAATCGCTTCTGCTCACATACCTGATGATACCTCTGCTTGCAGACGACAAGCTAAGAGTCTCTGCTGCTCTAAGACCGAATGAAAATCGTCGTTCCTAGAATGGTCTTCTCCGTAACCTGCCGCCTGCTTCCTAAATCCTTCCAGGGGGGTAGAGTGTGATGTTTCTGCTGGCTGGTCAATTATTGGAGTGCTTCCCTTTAATGATCTGTGACCTGAATAAATCGCAATTCTCTGCTGTAGCGAGGAGGGGAGTAGTGCTTGTGAAACTGGGATGTATCCCTTATGGGTCTCAACATCAAAGAATGAGTCTACCATGCTGGAATACAATGCTGCAAGAAGACATGATAAATTTAGACTAAATCCAAACGGCTGTGTTATTCCTGTAGTTTATATCAATTAAAGCTAGTGGAAAATGATTTTGGTGACGTTGTAGTGACGAATGTCCCCAACCAATGGGGTGATACTGAGTTTCGGAATTGCTTTCTACATAAGCCGAAACTTTCACTGCAGTGGCGGAGCTAGTGTGATATTATTTCGGCACTAGTACGGAGTGGTTGCATCCAACTAGTGTATAGACTGACATCCCTGTAACTTCATCGTTTATAGGTAAAGACATCTTCAAGAGTACACTAAAGGACGAATTATGTGCTTTCCAGGTACACCGTGTTGTTCTGGGTGTATTGCGTTCTAGTGATGGATGCGCATGTCTTCATCATTCCCTCTGTCCCACCCAACGGCTTGCAAAGCTTCCGAAGAATCGATGCATGGGGTCCGCCCACTTTACCACTCTCCACCCATGGGCGTTTGCGAGAGAAGGCCCTTGAGCCTCGCACTTCGTAGGAACAGGAATGGGGATCCTACTCTTGGCTGTTGTATGGAGCACTTTGTTCTGTGGTCCTATGACAGTCAGGTAAGTGGCATGGGACTGGTAATGAACACGCGTAACGAATTTAGGACGTGCTGTTTACTACTGGTGTTGGCACTTTGTAAATGTCGACCACACTAAAAGTTATACCATGTCATCTAGCAACCCGGACACTATTGCCTCAGAGACCACTGGTGACGGCGGGGGTGTCACTGTTGCAATTGTTCTTGGCATTCACGCCGGTGTATTTGTTATCCTTGTATTACTCTCAAGGTATGAGCAACGCTTGACTCCTGCCCCTCAAACCTCTTGTGATCGACCCCCTGACTATAACCCAATGCAGGCTTCTAGAAGACTTGGAGGCTGGCAAGCGCAAGAGAATAGCTTCAATATTGAGGCTTGATGGTGTAGCACCAAGCCGTGCATATGAACAGGGAAGACCAGAAACTAAGTCTGAGCCACGGTCGTCCTGTTCATTTGACAACGTTATTGTCTGGTAGGTCTCCCGTCTCCAATTCAGATGTGTAGGGTGAAGGAAAGAAAGATAAAGGCCACGCTTAAGACCTAGCCTTGTACGACAACATCACACGTGTCCACTTTGTAAGACACCGTTCTTTAAAGTGTCCCAAAGGAAGGAAACGATTGGGGCAGAGTCTTCGGGTCGTGCGGCCAATTCACCATCCAGATAGCGAGTCTTGCTGCGTTGAAGAAAAGATGCATACGTATTACCAGCGGATATTTTCTACAACTCTATACTAAAAATTAACCACCAAGTTCTATATGTTCTACCTTGGACTCAGCTGTACTATACTATAGAAAGGTTTTTCCTTGTAAGGTCTGTCTGCTGAGACTCAAGCGGCGCTCCACAGCAAACGGAGCACGGGCAACAGCAGTGTCTAGTCCAAAGCTTGGTCCGAGCAGCACTAATGGCGAGCTGCGACTCTACACAGTGAGCTGCGCTCCAGCTTCTCACACTGGCGCATACCACACACAATAGAGACTTGATGGAGATTGGAAGAAATATCCTCGCCAGCTTCGGTTCCTCCAGCCTGTAAACAGGCCCCTTCTCCACATTAACCAGATATAATAACCCTGATACCATCTAATTCTTCTCCAGATCAGCAAGAATCTTCTGACCCTTCTCCTTGGCCGAGGCCAGGTTGCCCCAGGTGTTGGAAATCGATCGTATAGATCGATTCCGAGCCCTGGTCGATCGATATGAATCGATCACTACCTTCAGTCGATCAATATCGATCGTTCACTAACCCAAATCGATCGATCAAACGTAGTCACCGCCATAGCTTTGCTCACAAGTCTCTTTAAGAAACTCATCTTCCTTTGTTTCCTTAAAAGTAATTAACGCCCTCGCTAACCCGAAACTGATGTTACAAAGCTGCTGCCACACTACGCGCGGTGGCCGTGATCCGAGCGACGTGCTTCTCTCTCTGCCTAGCAAGCTGATGATTTTTTTCTTCATTTCTGATTACGAGGAAGATATAGTAAGAGAGTCAACGGCTATGTCGAGGCGCCATTCATTAAAAGAGTTGCTCTTGATGAGATGATGTTGCTAGACTAACTAGTCGTGTCGAACATGTGGCAGAAGTTGTCGCACTTTTTGCGTGCTTAAAAATGGGTGAGAAAAAGTTGTGTATTGATTCAAGTTATAAGGTGCGGGGTCTTATCCCGCAGATGTTTAAAGTACACAGGTGGATTATTAACATGTTGTTTCACGTGGCTCATCAAAGATCATGCAATATTTGCGACACTACTCTAGGGCGCCGATAGGCGATACCAAATTCAATTCAATTCAATTCAATTCAATATATTGCCAATATGAATCGCCTGATATTGTATTGTCACAATATGGGAAACTGCATATTGTATTGTCACAATATCAGAAAATGCGTATTATATGGTATGTATTGCCGTATATTGTTTTATTGTCATATTATTTTCCACACTGAGGCCTCCCCACATCTCATAGTGTAGATTGAAGTCTCCAACCACTATTTGCTCGGCCTGCGGTGCCGACTCAAGCACTCTCCGCAGCAGTGGTAGCAAGCTTTGTCTGTTTTCCACCGTCTGATTGGGGTTGTAGATGTTCTGCAGTTTAATCTCTCTGGCTTCATCCCCTTGTCCCAGGTCTATCGTTACCGTGCAGAGATGCCGATTGTGTGATTCAAATCGCCACTTAGTGTGATCGAGCCGTTTGTTGATGAACATGCAGACCCTTGCTGGGGCCTGGCCTCCACCTTGGGGGTAGCATAGATGGAATAGGTCTTTTGCCGGGTGGTGTGTGGTGTCAATAAAGGGGTTCGCCCACGGCTCTTGGATTGCGAGGATATCCAAGTCCGTTATTTTGGATCCCGTAACAGGGTAGCCATGGCGATATCTCTCGACTTTCTAACGTTATACTGCAGTATTGAGAGTGACTCCGTACGTCTCATGCACGATTGTCGACGTCCATGTTCTCCGCTTGGTATGAGCCGTGTAGTCGTGCTGGATTTGTGTCAAGGGCCTCTAAAGCCCTTCTAGATGGTGTTATAGTTCTTTGGGGCCATCGACTACCCGTGTTGACCGTGATCTCATTTCCACGTTGTCTAGGGAGGCTACATTGCTCCCAGAGTTGACTCTCTTTTGACCTCTCTTTGTCGGCGATCTGCTTCTTCCTTGACGGTTCTGTTGACTGCTACCGGGCGCAAGAGATACTACTCCATCACAAGGCTTGTTTCTGCTGGGTTTCTCGTGGGTACTCACACTCGGGTTCACCTGGCTAATCGCCATATTACTTTGCGGTACCAGGAGATATCTGGGGCGTATGGCGTAGGCAGCTTTGACCTTGGCTATTTCGTCCTTCCTTGTCGCACACTGCTTACTCCATGCCTCGTGACCTCCTCTACAGTTAGCGCACTTCTTGGAAACGCTCTTGTCAGACTTGGTAGG